GATTCATCATGAACTGACCTCCAGATGTCAGTTCCTTTTTTGGCAGTTGCAGTGCGCTTAGGATCATTTTTCACTTTACTGACCAGTTAGACAATCGTAGAGGTATATTGCACAGCTAAATCTCTAGCTGGCGAAACTACAAGACCTAGAATGTTCGGCCTTTTGATGGTAACACCCCATCCTTTTTAACGCTATTGACTTATCTCCCGTCGTCTAGAGAATGTTTGTGGACCACAGTTGCATTTAGGAGAGACTCAAGTTTGCTGAAAGTTTAATACAGTTGATGTTATGATCGTGCCGAGCTTCAGTATATCTGCACTAGTGTCGATGTGTGTTCCATCAATACTATTGTTGTCGAAAACCCTCTGTTTTACTTCATTGTCCATATTTGTTTGTTTATCCGTTTTATGATTTTATTTTTTTCAGGTTCGCAGAACTGTCATGTAAATGATAATGTTGGTCAGTAAAATCAAAAGAACTATTTGCTTAAAATAAGTAGAAAGAGGGTGGTACAGAAGGTTAGAATATACTAAAACTAGCCTTGAGGTGAAAAACTGTAATTGATGCTTTTTTTGCGTATGAACAGAGAAAACGTTTGGGAAATTCATATCACATAGAGACTAAAATTTCCTGTTGTTCTAGCTTCCAAACAAGCAAACTCATTCATTCTTCTTGAATCACATGTTGACCATGTCAACTATTCGCTTTCTAACTTTGACTTTTTATGATTGTCTGTGTATATTCCTCGACCTATTCACTACAGTCCAAAGATTGTGTTTGTATGAATAAATGTCTATCAAAATTGGACTCATATCAAGGGTCTGAAAGTTTAATGACTAAACACTGATTACTGTTTGGCTGTCAATGTGATCAAGGTTGTCAGTATGTCATATTTTACCATAGTCTGATTAAGGGAAGACAGAAGTCATTAAGCCATCAATGTTTGGCGATGCTGCATGTCAGCATATTATCACTAGCGTCAATGTTTTTTCCATCGATACTAGTGTTGTCGAAGAAACTCTTCTGTAACTCACTGCAAATTGTTTATAACTATATGGTTCGATTTGATATTATTCATCTCTACTTAACCACCCAGAATTTATTTTGAAATTTATGAATAGTGGTGCAGATCACAACGTAGATGATCTATGTCGAAACGATTGGAGGCCTACTCGAGTTAGACGTGACTAGTGTGACAAACTAGCTAGCATCGAAGTCACACCTCGCAGTCAACACCCTACGTGGATTACCCCACTGATGTATCAAGGTACTATTGACGCTTTGAGGACTGTACAACACAAAGGACGTTATTACATAAATATATTAATTAAAGTAGATGTAAATGAAGGTAAGACCACTGCCACATGGACCAGTCCGGCACAGGAAAAACGTTAGAGACGTTCGAAGCTGCCCGCGCTTTCGTTTCAACGACCTTGAACGGCCTGACAAGAGGCGGTCATTCCGTATTTCAATTGCCGTGGGTTTGTTGGATTGCATAAGTATCAAGTCTTTTAATATTTAAGTCATGTTTTGCTGCATTAAAAAGCACAAAATAACTACCAAAGGCATTAATTTAGCTTTCTCTGTCTTGTAGTGTACACGTTGGCTCTGTTGTTGCTCCGTAATTTGATCTGTGGTCCCAACTGCTGTAGTAAACCTGTACTAAATGTCAAATCAGCGGTAAATCTTAAGTATTTGTAGTACTTCCTTGGGTTATTATTGTTTCAAGGCATTATTTTTTTATAAAAAATGATTTCTATTTGTAGTGCTTTATGCTGAAGTGTCATTTCAGTCGACCTTAGCGATGCCCTTCAAAGTATGATACTTAACAAGCGTTTTGCATGCTGGGCCAGTCCATGGCGTATGATCGACTGATGCGCGTTGGTTGTCCTTGACCTTGACGAGGATCGATTCAATGACCCAACTGCCGGATGATTTGGCTAGGACTCAGTGGAATTTCACTGGCCCTACAGTGGGAAGCATATTTTTCTGTTTTTAGTCACCACCTTCAATTTTGATATTATTAGAACACGAACTTCAAAGTCTTGGTCTCTTGGGTTTTCTGTTAAGATTGTAGGAAACGTTTATTGATTATTTCGGGATGAGTTTCACACTGATGTGACCGTCTGATAAGAATGTATTTCTGCTGAACTCAAGAGATACTTTCAGAGTACCTACAGAGTTGGATGAAGACAAATCTTTCAATGAAGATCGATTAACCTTACATTCTCAATATACTGGGTGGAAAACTGTTTTCTGTCTCTTAACTAGTTACAAATAATGTTATCCAGTTCAGACAAAACGTCTAGCACTGTACGATGCACTGGAGTTACATACACAAACGGACCATATTTCTATGTAAAAGTACTGTATCATATGACGTAGTTCGTTCATTTATTGGGTAGCAAAGCGTGCTGAAAAACAATCTTGACACAGCTTTTTATTTTATGTTTTAAAAATTGTGGTATTCAAGCTAGCTCACTAGTCTCCATGAGTAAGTCACACTAGATTGTTACGAAGATATAATGTGCCACATTTGATCAATAATTTATTCACAAAGTGGTGTAGATAAATCTCATTTATCCTAAATACATTTTAGGAACTTTCGAAAATATATTTCGTCCATTAACTTTATAAAACATATGTCTTAAACGTGATGACCCGTTATTAGTGATTAACGTCTGTAGAATTATCGTCTACTGCTCTAACAATAGACCTTATTCTAAAATTGTAGATTTGTTATGGTGTAACTGTCTAATCTATAACATCGTACGTGGAAGTCACATCATGGTCTACACCAACTCATTGCATTGTAACAATTGCCAATACACGATGAAGAACAAGCTTAGACTAGAGATAGAACAATATATTTAATATGAATAAAAGATATATGGTAATATTCAGTATGGACCGAACCATGACATCCGATCAACTCCAATTCATTCAATTCCTTGTTCCCACATTATTATCGTTGGGTTTGTCCCCGCGTTAAATGTTGAATATTTATTTCACATCTTGTCTCGTGTTAGGGCGGTTTAGCTGTATTATTGGGTAAAGTACACCGTGATCAGATAGAATGACTTTATTTTAAATAATGCAAGATAATTATCATAATCGGCTGAAAATCTTAGTTTATGCCCCTGTTTATATTAGTCATTCATTAAATGGGTAGCATCCTAGCTTTGTATATAAGTTTCAACTAAAGTTGTAAGCGCTACTGTGAAACTACTACAACTAAAATATTGTGATAATTAGAGGTAATCAAAATCAATGCACTTAATAGCAATAAATATAACTATTCAGTTGTGGTGTGTTTTGTTATGACGACATAAGTATATATAACGCTAGTCAATAATATAATGTCTGTGAGAAGAATGTTAAGCAAATCGTGCAGGAAATAATGGGAACGTAAAGAAATTGGCGTGGAAATGCAGGGACAATGAAGTCGGAGACAGCTGTTGAACATTTTGCGAATGACGTATTTATTGTATGGTTCTCAGATTTTACTAATACGTTCTATAATTTTGTGTTAAATGCATTCGATTGTCCTCACGTTTATTCTCGTTTACTACACAATTTGTACACAATAGGTGTTGGACAAGTACGAGAGAACTCTGTGAGCACATTCAAAGCAATGTTCTTAGAGTTAAAATTAGCCCCACAATAGGGTACAAAGAAATAGTCAGGCAGCACAACTACGAAGACTAAATAGCAATCTAGAGGTCTGTAGTATGTTATGCGAATCAGTATATTTGTTCGAAGGCGTATTGAGTTTACAATATGTATGGTCTAGAATAAGTTGATTACCCATAGAATAGACAACGGAAATCAGAATGACATTCTGTCAGAACTTCAGTTGTATATAATTAATTTATTGGTATCAAAAAATCGTCACTACAATCCCCTTGAATGGTCGAAGAACATATTCATAATTCTATGTAACTCCCCAAGCCTTTAAATATATTATATTCTAACGGAGAATCATTTTTTTCAAGAATTTTGACGGTGGTGCTTATAAAACTGAATTTTTAACACTTCTATATCTGAGCAGAAAAGTGGCCGATACCGTCTGTAGTTCATTGAAAATCATAGCAGTTATGCGATTTGTTGCAGTCTCTGACGTCTTAGCGAAATTCTCTGTCTGACCATTAGAACAAGGGTATCTGTGAACAGTGAACAGAAGTTTACTAAGTGTACCATTTAACCAGGTAATAAATTCATCCACAGTAAAGTAATGTCATTGTCAGTTATCTCGTCTCTAATGGAAACTTCTATCAACGCCAAGGATTTCATTTTCTCAACATTTAAATGTCGAAAGTAAAGAGCCATCAAGAAAAATAACAACATGATCATTTTAACACAAACGATTATATACATTAGTGGATTATTCATCCTGCTTCGTAAAATAGACAGGTAATCTACGCTTCAGAGTAGAATAGTGACCATTTCGAAAATCAAATTTGGGTTTAACATTTTTGAAATTTAGAATAAGCGCGACATGTGTATATAGGAAAGTATCTTAAACCAAGACACGGGTTATTCCTAATAAACCTGCTCAACATACGACATAAAATTTGGGTGGATTGAAGGACGTCACGGATATTGCTTACTTGACAACGCTATCTTATGTACCACCTTTCAACCAAGGATTCTAAGGTCAGCACTTTTGTATTTAACCACATATTTCACTTTCGAACATTTTATAAAGGACAAATAAGAGGAATTTTCATACAGAGCAACAGTAATGAGATCAAAAACCTATTAGGAATAAGTTTTGATCAAACTTCGTTCATTTAAGATAAAAAAACTACGTTCACAGGAAAATGCTGTTGAAATACCTAGGAACAAAGTACAAGAACAATGTAAAGTAATTGCAACATCCTTATAAAAAACAAGCAATTCTATGAGTCTTGTTTTAGTGCGCTCATTATGTACACTTAAGCGACCTTGAAAGATAAACTTTACAAATATCAATGAGCTTTTCGCTTTTATCCTTCAATCAATGAGGGACAGCTATGAATACATCAAAATTTATTTACAAAACGTTCATTATCATAATGATTAGCTCTTTTGATAATAACGATTATCAAGCATTTTCTTATTAAAACAGTTAAATTTGATCGTTATGTTTGCTTTTTTTGTCAAAAAATTTAGACTAAAGATAAACTAGGATATTGCTTAACATGCCCACATTATCCGAAATTTTGAAGCCCCACAATGAAGCAAATAGTTCCTCGGAATTAAAACATTCACAGAACTGCTTGTCGACCAATAACACTATTTTCCATGATAACAACGTTTACGTAAATCAAACTGAGTCAGAAGTTGAACCATGCGTCAAAAATCACTCCATAGTTGATGACTTAAAAAACGATGCCGAAGTACCAGTAATACCCAAATTCGCCTCTGAAGCACGCATTTGTTTTCCAAGAAAATTCACTAAAAGCTTAGAACCAACGCTTATGTGTATAAACGCATTAGACGACTTTTGTAATCAGGTAAGTGCCAGAGGATGAGAAAGCCACCGATGGCATTGGCAGGACTTCACGAATTTTTCTCATTTTTTTAAATATATCTGTTATATAAACGTTGATCTTACGTATTTCAGTCACCGGGTTTTACAAAGTTAAAATAGATCTTGAAATATGATTTTAGATAAAAAAAAATGATTATCATGTTCAGAGCACTTTGTAGAAACAAAAAGAGATATATGTGGCTGGTTTGTCGGTGTCAATCGAGAGTTGTGTATGTAAAGAGTAAAATATTTTACTTCTCTTGAGTTACTTAGTAAACAATTAAAAAAGTGTGTGAGAAATACACTGTTTAAACGAAAAGCAAGTTAGAGTGCTTGATAAATTGACACATAGTTGAGCTACACTGTAGTATTTATAACAACTTATCAATTTGTTCGCACATGAATATTCGGTTGATTCAACTACCAGATACAATACTTTCAGATGTGCTCATTATGTTCTTTATGATAGCAATACTGGTATATGCGGAACCCCTAGTCATTTCGAATTACGCTATTTCCGAACATCACATGTGCTTGCGTTTCACTAGATCACTAGAATAAAAATTTATACACACAATGGAAGAGCTTTAGTACACGCATCCACTAATCTCTACTTCTATACTGTTGACTACAGATAATATTGAAAAAAATTTTATAGTTATCATTATATTATGACATCAGCCGCTATTTTATCAATGAACCTATCTTACTCGACTAACTGCTTTTACTTTCATGCTAAACACGCTATTGAACCACGTAACATTGACGGTTTGACATTTTTAATTGAGTCAAAGCAACAAATGTGCGTGCTTGGATGTAATATGTGTGATTCAGAAGAAATACGGAGTTCATTTTACAAGGAAAATAATGAATGGAATTGTAATCACGAAAATCAAAGTACTAATCATCTTCTTCAACAGGACCAAAACAGTAAAAGCGATCTGTTACATAAACAAATCAATGAGTTAACTGAACGTGAAAGTTACAAAATTAAGTGGGTTGAAAAGCGCAACGAATATGAAAGTGAAATCAAAGAGTTAAGGAGAGCCAAAGACAAAGCTACTCGGCAAAATATCAAGTATGAGGAACAGGTAATTTATAAGGGCGACATATTGATAATGGCATTATCAAACGTTTTATTATTTTAATATTTTTGGTCAAACATGTTTTTAGAATGTATCGCCATAAAACTCCTTTTAAAAACTTCCTTACCATTGTAATTGTCAGCCTTACGTTTTCATAACTTAAAAGACAGGTATATCATGTTAAAAATGCAAACAATCTCATAGTACTGACTCAAGGCTGTTTATTCTGCGCTGATAAATCCATAGAATATAGAAAACAATTTTATAATTTGTATATATAGCCTTTGGTCATCTGTTCGCATCTTGCGATGCAAACCGTCTTCTTTTCTGTCATTCAACTGTTCTACCTATACTTTGCTATTGATCTACAGAAATCCTCTCGATCTGACAACTCTTACAGCCTTAATACCACGTTCTGCCACATGTACTAAAAATCAATCATGTAAGGAGCGTCCACCAGATTAGGGTAAATCCCTGAATCAATTTTATTGCTCCAAATATTTGGTAATTTTTTGTGTCTGTTGGTAACTACATTTACACGCCCCCTTTTTAATTTTTTTGGACATCTTTCATTTAATTGTTTATTGCCCCAGTGATCTCAAAATTGGCTAATTCGAAAAGTGTACTAATTTGTTTAGTCTTGCATCATGACAGTCAGTTTAATTTTTTGAGCTTTTCTAAATAAATGAATTAACCTGGACGATAATCAAAGAAATACTGATTTTTTGGAACTTTCAAAGTGAATTTTGCTTAGCCTATTTAGTTTTAAAATGTAATTACCATAAAGATTTCGAATTATCTGTTGCTTATTATGTCATAGATTTGAGCTCATCCAGCTGGCCTCAATCATTGATCCTCCCAGTTTATAAGAACACATCTGTTTTTGATAACCACAGTGGAATCAGACTGACTAGTATATTATCTAAAATACCAGTTTCTATAATCGTCAGGTCGCTAATTAAGGCTTGTGAAAAGTAAACTAGATAAATCCGGTCTGGTTTCAGACCCAGATATATATGTAATAACCAAATGACTACTCTTCATTACTTTTTAGAACATAGGTATACTTGCTTACGTCTAACCATAATTGTAGCAGAATTACCAATCTCTAGCAGCCACCACAGCTGCTCACCGTGCTAATTTTAATTGAATTTCGTCATAGATTTACTCCTTGGAGCTACCATTTCTGCACCTAACTCAGTAGTTGATCTACTATCAGAAGATTCATTTATCCACTTAAAACACTCATAATACTGTTAGTCAAATTTGATCCTATGAATGGTCTTATGATCTTCTTAAGGAACAGCTGGCGTATACTTGGGTGCGTTCCTTCTCTTTTTGTAAAATGTTACTTCTTGACTTTTTTTTGAAGAAATCCTGGCAAAGACTAAAATCGCTTCGTTGGTTTTTACCGATCCTCATCATTTGTGGCGTGGGTGAGTTGTCTGTCTGCCAACAAAAGGATGGATATACTGCCCATCAGTCCCTCGTGTTTGTCTCCATAAGTATGAAACGTGGTCTTTTAAACAAATAATGTTCATAGATTACAATTTCAATGGTTAAGATCATGAGTCAGTTGAAGCTAGACCGCCATGGAAAATCTGGAAGAACTAGACGGCCGTTTCGTCCTATTGTGGGACTCCTCAGTATAGGTTATTTGTCATCTGATTATAGATGCCTTTGAAATATTGCTGGAATGACCGAGCAGGCAATAAAAAATTTAGGAACAGAGTTCTAAGCTGATTCAAAGAATTAGTCGATGAGGCTTGTGAATCTTTATTGACTGACGTGGTTGGGGAATGTGTAACGTATATTGGTGAGGAAATAGATTGGAAGAAAGGATCTGACTCATGTTGATAAATGCAGACTGCCCAGTAATGGTCTACGCAACAGTGACTATCGGTGACGGAATACTTCTAATAAGATGGCCAGGAATAGGTCCAGACGGAAATGACACATCTACTCTTTATCACCTAGATCCTGAGCTACAGTATTTATCTATGTAGGCCTTCTTGCTGTCTTTTCTTACCAGATGTCCCATTTTCAGTCTCTCATGTTATCGTTACTATCACATTGATTTGAGTGTCTGCTATTTTCCTAGTTGATTTTTTTGTTGTGGTTGTGTGGTATGATAACTAGGTCCAACACACATTTGCTCCAGGCCCTACGTTTTTATGACTGAATTGCTGGTCCGGACACATCTCACTATCTTGGCTCAGTATCAAAATAATATTGTTATTCTTTTCTCAATAGACATAAATTACGTTTTTGTAAATAAACATATGTATGGTTTACGGTTACATAGATGTGCAGATTATTTAAATGTGAGATTAAAAATAGTTGCTCGATTATAAAGTTACTTGGTGAGACTAAATTTATTTCAATAGTACTTTTTTCTATTACATTATTTGACAATAATATTTCAATTATAATCTGAATCCATTTCTATCTATCTGAAACTATATTTTTTATTGTAAGTCCCAAAAGAATATTGTACTAATAAGTTAAAAACCTTATTTTCCGAAACATTTGTCGTTTATCAGCTTGTAACTGTTGACATTTATACACAGATAATTAAATTGCCATTACAATTGGTTCAGATCATATGTAGACTAAATGTACTTAAATAAGTTTCAGTATTTGATGTATTTTTTTGACCTCTTCTTTTAGCTTACAATTAATTTTTATGAAGAGACTCAATCTGTTACCAGTTTAAAAAAATGAAAATATAGTGCTTGCTGTTGCGTACACTTACAAATAAAATATTCCATAAACTACAAATTTCGAAACGGAGTGATTCATTTAGACATCCTTCATTATGTGTTGATTGCTTTGAGTGGTGGTCACTATAGCTAGAATTGTTATTATTCATTATTTAACATCATTTATACGGGTAGTCTGTTTAACCCAGCATATCACTGTTTTCTTCCTTGTTTATTCAGATAACCGAGTTAAAAACTAAGCTCAGTTCAAAACAAGAACAGATACATAATTTATTGATCGAATTAGAACAATCTAATCAAAGATTAAATGTTATCGAAACACAATTCAACGCTTACAAATTACAAACTAGTCAAAATGAAGAGAATTATCAAACCTTATCGCGTGAATTTGTGATTATGAAACAGTGTAAAGAGCAAGCAGAATTGAATGCAAAAAATTGTGAAAACAATCGGTTACTATATGAGAGACGAATGAAAGAATTGGATGACAAGTTAAATGTTATCCTGAGTTTTTTATTCTTATAAATTTTGATCTGTAGGGGCTTCTTTATCTGTTTAGATATGATATGTGCATATACAATACATTGTTCAATATCTGAGTTTTCAAAATTCTTTCATAAGATGGTTCATGGAAATTTCGGATATTTTGAGTTCATGTACTCCCTTAGATTATGCTATTTCTGCTGCCAGTAAAATATATCTATTTCCATCAATAGTTAAAATCTCAGTGCGGTGTACCAGCCATTTGAGCTTGGAGAAGCCTATCGGCTTTTCTGGAAGGAAAATTGTTATTACGAGGCACAAAAGCTGCCATAAATCTACTCATGAAACTTCATTTATAATATTTACTGATTAGGCACTTGGAAACTATCTGTTTTTGTGACAACAAAGTAACATATAGTTACTCGTGATTATTTTCAAATAAATGTTAATTGTTCTACAGTAATTAAATTTATATATTATTAATACATCTAGATCAGAGAATCCGATAACTGTGACCATACTAATTTATCCTACTAGTCAAAAATTAAGATATTAAGTAACTATTTTGACACAAACGTTCTGTATAAGTGTGAAAATTTATATTTCTGCCATACATTAAGATAAATACAAGAAGTTATCCACCATAATATAGTAAATTTTCAACACTAGTAGTATATTCATATCCACAGTTTTGTGGTTTTTGAGGAAGGAAAAATCAAATATTTGTTCTGACATCGGTTTGTGGTGACAATTATCTTCAGAAAAATGAATGAATAATAATATTGACATGACATCTTGCAGCAACTTCAAATAATCGTAGTGTTATGGCTAAAATAAAATTGATTTCGTGACAAAAAGAATTAGTAATAATACGACAGACATAGTGACGATTTTTAGTCAGTCGTATTTAAAAATTCAATAAAAGACTAAAAAGTATTTCAGTTTAGCTATATTTAGAAGATATCCTTCGAATCTACGAGTTGTTTCTTGCCTCCTTTATCACTGAAGTTTGTTAGCTCTCAAACTGGCTTTATTTGTTCATGCATTTAATGTTTTATAGTATAAAAACCATTTTAATTATTATAAGTTATTCCACTGGCTAAAACATCATTACAGATTTTGCATGAAAATATAAAAATACAAAAAAATGATTTTAGGTAGAAAGTTTTGCAAATTATGATCGTTTTTCCTATCTCAATCTAAGTTCAATAACATAAATGAATTTTTTAGTTATGAACAAAGTAAACAACGTTATTATGACGATATACAAGGATTAATGCATCAGTTGGATATGGAACGTTCAAGGGCTGATGAACTCTTGCAAAAAATTGAACATAATCGCCGCCAAAATGAAGAACAGCTTAGAACCGTATGATTGTTTTGTTATATATATATATATATATACTTCAGAATAAATTAGTCTCTTTCATAATACCAGGACTGTCTTCTAAAGTTCATCATGATTTATATTTCCAATGTTGTTGAGGTTGTATACTAAATTGTATTTGGATTTTTAAAAAGTAGTATGTTCAAAACAACTTTTACGACACAGAATCTGTACGTGAAATGTGAATGACTGTCTGTTATTAAATTTGAGTGTCATTTTTAGTGTGGATTTTGTGGAAATAATCTTTTACTGTACTGTAATAAAATGTGGAATATTTCAGTTAAACTATTATTTATTCCTATTTTAAAGCTTAACTTCTCTTAATAACCAAATAATGTTTCAGTGAACGACATAAAACTATTCAGGGAGTCTGAATTCTAGTTTAAGTGAATTCTAATTATATTTCACTGACTTGATAAAATTAACAGAATCCAGCATCTGACAAAAAGTTAAATCAGTATAAGTTTTCTATAAAATATTTTAATTCAAACGAATAAGCCTATGGAAATGTATTTGTCACTCTCTGATGAAAGCACAATTAGTTTCCTAAAAAAATGTATTAGTTATTAGTTTAATTTGATAAATTTATTTCTAAAACTGATTAGGAATATTTAAATTCTTGTGGAAATGTGACACATTTTCCTTTATTTTCAGCTAATCATTACCTTTAAATTTTCTTAACAGTTTCGAATTTATTCATGTTTATTTGTCTTTATAATTGGTATGATAATTACATTGTAATTTTTTTATAGTGGGATGACTGTTTAGAAAGTAATTATTCTGTGATACCATGCCTATTAAAAAAATGCTTGTGTAGCTAATAATTTGTGCAAATTATTTTATGAATGCTACTTAATGTTTCATTATAAACACCTTAGTTCTTATGATGGTCTAGATGATTAAAGAAAATCTGACGGTAATCCGTTATATTAAGTCAAATTCCTTAATATTAGTGAGTAATTATTATATTGTGAGAGTAGTATTCATAGCGTGTTTGCCTCAAGTGGGATACTATTACAATTCATGATGCAACAGTGATATCATTCAACGTAAACCTAGCGGTAAATTCAGACGAGAAATTACCTATCCTTGATTGCTGAAACGCTTTTCGTCTAAACTTAAACGATATATTCCATGGCTTTTGAGGCTGAATTTGCGGCGTTAAACTAAGTTTATCAGTACATTATAATGAAACTGCTGACACAAACAGTTTCTGAGAATAGAAATAAGGATGAAGAGAACAACGCTTTGAATACAAACAGCTGTTAGCATGATCATCAGAATGAAAGGATGTAGCACACGTGAAAATATTTTAAAACATTCGAAGCATACATTAACAATCTTTTGCAGTAAGATGATAAGACCCTCACAATCAAACAACTTTGGTGATAGAAAATAACATCTAAAGATAAAATATATTTTACGCATATGAAGATCCTCTATTTAATCATTTGTACCATTAATGCCGATACCGTAGATCGAACAAACTCAACAGAAGAAACTAGATACATTGTTGGAAGATGGTCAAAAGGAGTTAAGAAAACAGTTAGCTGAAGCGAATGAACAAATTAAGGAGCAACAAATAACAATATTTAATCAAGAATTAAAAATTTCTACAATGGATTCAGATAAAAACGAGGTTAGTGAATAAATTGACATACGCATCACTGAAAATCTAGTCAGATATTTTCTAAACAACGTGAATTTATTAAATAAACACAATTATAAAAACATGTGTCAATCCAACCAGTTTCGAATAAAGTTCTTAATAGCATCGAACATTTTGGCTGGTCACAAACAAGTACAACTGTCATTGAGTATACAAATCTATAAGAAAATATAAATCCAGTTAAAGTTCGGAGTCTAACAGTAACCCATATTGTATTTGTTGAGTACTGAGATAGTCTATTGGTATATTAGACTTGAGAATATAATCACGATTTTAGTTCACTGGTATAAAGGAAATCGAGAGGTACTTGGCCTAATCCCTTGTGAATCCTTGTTTGTCCGTTAATCATTAATTTCAAACTAAAGTGAAAAAGCTGTTCAGTACGCCTTGGTTTAATTGATTATCAAGCTAATGTCGATCTGTGGCAAAAAATAATCTTCCTAAGTATTTTATTGTCGTTTCAATCAAACCGCAAATAAAGAACTCTTTGGCTTTTCACTAAATTCAAGAATGATTTTTCAGTACGTAAATGGAATGAAACGAAGCTAGATAGATCGACTAAGATAAGAATGAATTACTCTTAGTTTATTAAACTACAAACTAAACAAACATCTAAGTTTAATACTGTCACAGATAAACTCCCACCCAAACTAAATTATTAATGATAATGTATAAAAATTTAACTTACAAAGATCATTTTGAAACCTGAATTCATCACACACTAATAACTTGTGGAAGTTTGTCAAACAGCACTTTCCAATTATATGTTTATTGGTTATAATTCAATAATGTATTAAAAGAGGTTTCTGAACCTCACCCATATCTTTACTTTGGTAAATGTTTTCAGTTAAAAAGCAAGCCATTTCATACAAACTAATCCTTTCTGTTAAATGAAATATCGAGTAATGTTGTATTGTGGTGCTTATGGTTCGTCTCCCTTACTTAAATTAAAAGTATCTTTTAATTAAATGGTTATCAAAAGTTTACTATGGCTCATGACCACTTTTATCAAAATCTATCCTGTTATTTTTAGCATACTAAACCTGCATATGAATTTTATACAGTTTATTATTCGAAGAAATACTATTTCAATTGTATTTTGGAGAGTAGCTATTACTTGGAATTATTCAAAATAATCGAGCCGAACAGTTCAGTAGTAACTTTTACGTGTACAGCTTTGAACCGAAAATTCGAATTTTTGAGTTGAATATGAAAATTAGATAAACAATTTCTAGCCGTTAATTTGATATATCTGACCCTTATGATGATAAATTATGATGTTTATCAATTTCATTCCACCTAGGAATTCACCTGTAAAATTTTTGTTCAGAACTAAATGCTTCCGATGAAAAAACATCAGCAACGAAATATTATGAGATGATATTAAATTATATGATTTTGTGTGTTGTAAATTTTCTACATACTTACTAATTCATATAAATAAATAAAATGTTTTACAATTTCAACTTCATATGTAATATGCATAGATCTACTTGGTTCATCAGCGTTAAATAATAATAATAATAATAATAATAATAATAATAATGATTACTATCTATATTCACTTGGTATTGTTTGGCTTGTATCCTCCCATTGAGGTTTAAGACTGCAATTGATCAGTCTGTTATTGGCATATGTGCATACTGTGCGTATGCCTCTATATTGCCTTAATTCACAAGCTTTTTGTAATAAGCAATAGGACGAAACGCTCGTCCTGGATTCCCCTGCTAGCCACTATCCATCATTGCTTACAAAAAGCTTGTGAATTAGGGCAATATAGAGGCAATACTCACAGTATGCACATATGGCAATAAGAGATTGATCAATTGCAGTCCTAAACATCAATGGGAAGATACAAGCCAAACAATACCAAGTGAATTTAAATTCAACCAATTGCACAAGCAAGTGGCTATCAGGACTCGGTAGCTTACTGGATAACGCGATAGCGTCTGAAGCGTATGGTACTAGGTTCGATTCCCAGAGTGAACATCAACTCTGAGATGCAGGTACATCCAGCCGACGAGTCCCGAATGGGACGAAACGCGCGTCCTGGATTCCACTGCTAGCCACTATCCGTCATTGCTTACAGAAATTACTATCTATTTCCACAAAAGTTCAACTTATAGGCTAAAAATATATTTGTAAAGCATTTTATTTATTTATACAAAGTGAGTAGGGAATATTCAGAAGACATGAAATGAAATGTTGTCAAAGGAACTAAATATATGGAATACGAATTTTACAATCTAAAATTAAATATTATTTAATGAGTGGTAGGAATTTGTTTTTATTTAATAAACTTTTGTAAGTTTTAAAACTTACATTGTAGTGTCATTATCAATGAGAAAACTGTTTATTTTCAATGCTCTTAATTGAATATCACATTTGTAATTTTAATGTTTTTTAATCGTTGATGTAGTGTTGTATGTTTCGTCTTTTAAATTAATTTTTAATCAACAATTTTAATGGCATACTTCGTCTTTCTTTGTAAAGCTTATAAAAATCAATCAAAAATCAATAGATGAACAATTAGATCTTCGTGAACAAATTAAATTGATTGAAAATTTGTTAACAGTAAAAGATCAAGATATTTCAATGATGCAATTTGAATGTCGTCTTTATGCTGATAAATTAAAACAAACTGAACTGGAAAAAAATCATTTCATTGAAAAAGAACGATTTATAAAACAAAGATATCAAGTAAGATTGGTCGGGTAAATTGAGTATATATATATATATATATATATATATATAAAGCTTCGAGTAAGAGTATTTGTGTGGCATATGAGCTTCGATTGACGCTTCCTATTTATTTCATACTGTGCATAAGCTTACTCCATGAATTTATCAAACTTGTATATAATCAAACTGTTCATGTACATTATAAGACAATTCCATAAACACAAGATAGATACTAATTTTGATATTATCTTTTTCTAATTTAGAACAAAGCCAAACGTGCATGGGAACAATGTCAAACTATTCGTACACGTTTAAGTAGAAGACTTGTTCATCTGCGTTATAACAGAGATTTATTATCAAAACATTTAAAGAAACAATACGAACAAATGAATCGTTTAAATAATTTAGTTTGGGAAACTGGATGGGCATATGTTCAATCACAAAACTGTCTGCAAAATATCAATAGACAAGAAAAGGAATATGTAGATAAAGAAATTCAAACAGTCTTAATTATTAACAAGATAAAACAAGTAAGATATGTTAAACTTTGTAAATACATGTCCCTAATTACGATTGTAAATACTCTGGTTTTATAACCTATACAGATGGAGTAATGATTAAATCTACCTATTTGACACAAGTAACTATGATGAAAAGTGGAGATAGTTTCCTGTAGAAGTAGGGTTATAGTGTCATCTTTTTTTGTTATTGTATCTGAATGTGTATCTACTATGTTTACTTGTAGTGGTTATCCTTAGTTTGATGGATATTTTATTTGAAATGTAAAAATGCCAAACTTTATTCACTAATACGTCCCTTGTTTTTAAACATATATAATTAATAATTTGCACATATTCAGATATAAGGTTGTAGTGAATATTCTTTAATAGTAAATAAGAACATGCTGTATCAAATTTTTTTCTGTTTTCAGTGTTTACTAGAGTACATGCTGTAGAAGCGTTTTTAATAAATACTTGATATTTTTAGCGATTTATTTCCCAAAAGGACTTAAATCATCGAGAAATTCCAAAGTTAAAAGTAAAATAGAATTTATCCCTAAATAATTTTAATGACATGCAACCTGTAATGTAGTTAGCTGAAATAAATCATTATTTTGTCAAAACGTTCAACCTCCAAAAATTTTTAAAAATAAGTAAAGTAAAATAATAATTAATTGATGATACTCTACCTAATATAGTGTCTTATCCAGTTACGTACGGTGCATATACAACATTTTGATGCAATACTCTGATGCAGATGTTCCTTCATGGATGGAAATATTTTACAACTGCACTTAGTGTGCATTTAATATATCACTTTGAGATTATTCAATTATAATAGGTGTACTCCACAAAAGTTTTAACTACTACTTTTATGAAACGTTTGAGTACGAAATATAAGTTGTAAACATCATTGTTCACCTATCCAGTTTTTTTATAAATTAATCGTTTTATACAATAATTGATGCACTTGTAATGATGTGCACAACAGCGATATTTTTAAATGAAAATTTTCTCAAATATAGATGATTTGTTTACATATAAAAACTGGTCTATTAATTGTCTGGTTTTTAAAGAAGGTTGATCTCAATATTCACTGGTTTCTTGAACAATATGAGATGAATTACCTCCAGGTTAATTATATCTCTCTAAACAACTGTAATGGCTGTGCTTCGTTAACCAATCACCCTCGTAAACGTTATCATATAATCCTCAATGGTGTTTGAAATCAGAATGCAAAGAGAAGCAGCGACTACAGTTTTATTAGCAGATAACTCAAACCGCAAAGCAGAGGCAAATGAATGAGTCACCGAACTGCGAGTGTAGTGTTAAATGTACATGTATATATAGAGAGAAATGAATGGATCATTGAATCGATTAAGCAGCTAATAATAAAGCTAGCAGAATGAATATATGCATAGGCGGTAAACAATGTTCAAGTATGCCTATTTCATACAAGTACAACAATAATAAAGGTGCAATAAGTTGTTATAGTACAGATGACTTTTTCAGCTAAATAAGTTAACAAAAGAGCTTAACCGAATTAAATGAGAACAAACTCAATTGCACGTGAGTTGCTATACAAACACTATTGATGTATTTAATTCAGCAAATACAAGTTCGTGTATTTAGATTTTAAGCCATACCTTAAATATGGAGTACGGTGATTCTACCCTACTATGTTTACCGGATTCGGTAAGACAAAGTTTGAGTCCGACATTTTACTTATTGAAAACCAAGTGACTCAATTAGTAGGTTACATTGAATGGTGATTATTTAAAACAAGAAATTACTTTTTGTAAACCCTATTGTTAAGAAATTAGTTCCATCATGTACACCAATTAGACAAGGGGATGATCTAAAACGTACACGATGAAAATAGGCTATAACTTATCAAGTGGTAACCATAATATGACTTGTAAAGAAGCTCTAGTTAATTCCGAAAGTTGATAGTTAAATGGAAATATCAGAGTTAAAGCACATATCATGTTATACATACATTATGCTATCTACCTTAAGGAATTCATGGAATTCTAACCTTGATATAGAACGATCATTTAATTGTAACTGAGTAGCTAATTACTTACAACCGATTGAATTATATGTAGACATGTAATTTATTTAATTAATACTAGTGTATTCCTTGTATTACCTACTTCTATCATGTATCATTTTATTAATAAATCACTAGTTTATAATATAGGTCACGTCACTAAAAAGTTACTAAATTGGGGAATTACTTCATCATGATCTATTCTAATATTGTTAGTTTACAGCATAAAATTTTTAAAAGCTATACATTATTTGTTTCCTCTTCAGCCTTATGTGACTATAGACCAGATTGTACAGACTGACGCTTTACAGGCGGATAATGATGCTAAGGATGATACAATGATATCATGCGCTATCACATGGATTTCGAATGATTTAGAAAATTTGACAGGAAAGTTGGAGAAATTGCTTAAATATCACGGAAAAGGTTGGTTTTCCCCTTACTATATACATATGTTAGTACAATGAGATTCAGTTATTAGTAATCAAGGTAACTTCCAGTTTTGAAAAGAGCTAGAACAAAGATTTTAGCAGAATAGCATGAATTCATTTTATTTCGTAGGTTCTCATCATGGCCGTTGCCATCAGGCGTCAAAAACCTGACCTATGTGTTCAAAAGGAGATGGTTGTTAATCTTTCTTTGCCTTGGTGACAAATATTCCTTCGCTGCACCATAAATTATTATTATTATTTTTGTACTTATTACATCATTGATTTTCATTATTTTATTTCTTCAACTACGTTTCAAATTAATAATCTTTTAACTGAACTCTACTCACTATATTCCTATCAAAATTTTTTTACTCATTATGTAATCAATTGTTTCTAACCCCTTTTTGAACTGTCGTCACAATTAATGATGTAGAATATTCTTTCACATTAGGTATATATTTACAATATTCAGTATATTAATTTCATTTACACCCTTGCTACACTATACGAATATGTCTTCTATATAACTTCTAACAAAACCCTCTCATGTAAGTCATTTAAACTCATCATCTTATTATGATTTATAAATATATAATAGGTTGTAAGCAGCTGATGAGAACCTACGAAATAAAATGAATTCATGCTATTCTGCTAAAATCTTTGTTCTAGCTCTTTTCAAAATGATAAAGGGAACTATGTGTATGTAACTTCCAGTTGCTAACGTACGTAGTAGATAGTTTTCATTTAGATACACCTTAAAACATATACAACTACGGAATATTTTATTTGTAAATAATCCATTCGAATAATACTAAATAGGTTATCTACGCTAGGAGATAGCAGTTTAATGCAGCGCAATATGTTCGTCACAACCCACTCTTTTTAACTAAATATGAATGCTGAATGTTTTAAAAGGCTCTGAAGACTATTATTTGAAACAACTATAGAAGAAAAGATCCATGTTTTACAAGAGTGTATATCGATACCATAATGAGAACTGTATAGTGATAAAAATTCCATAGTACAACAGCTGATTAACAAACGTATTGAATAAAACAGTTTATAGATTTCAAGATAGCTATTTTGTTTTCAACTTTTCAAGTAAATAATTCAGTTTTACCACATTTCGAATTCATTTAAAAGGTCAATATGGCATTACATTTTGTAATAGTAATTACTTCAGATATGGGTAATTTAACTTAATATATGTTTTTAAATAATGGTACAAATTATTATAAGTTTGCAAATTAAAACTATGTGGTGATATAAGGAGTTGTACCTAAAGAAAATATTGATCTATTCACTGTTTGTATCTGAATACAAAAACTTTAATCTCGATGCATTCATTCATAAATTTCTACTAGTTGACAATGCTTTTACTGGCCTTTATAAGATTGATATATGCTACAAAAAGCGTATCACTGGTGATACTGAGATAAAAATCTGAATGAAATTATTATTATGAGATAATAGATTCTCACTAGGTACATCTAACTGTAGCATTTTCAAACTAGTGAATTAAAAGTGTTTCTGACGCGTTTTCTTTATACAGAAAACTTCAGTGATCAAGATCTAGACAACGAAGAATTTCATAAAGGATTTAGTGAAAAAGTATCTCTGATTTCAGTGATTCTTGAATTAAAATGCAAAGTGAATTGGTTAAGGACGTGTTTTAATCAATTAACAGGACATACTTTTAGAAAAAATAGTGAAGTGAGTTAAAACTATCATTTCATGAATAATATGAAAAAATTTAGGAAGAAAGTTGTTCAACGTGTTTTTTCCAGTTATTTAGTAAAGGACAATTAACATATTATTGTACATGTCAAAAATAGGAAATAATAGAGTACATTGTAATTAATCAATAAGATTTAGAAAAAATTCCAGTAGTCAGTTTGTTTTGCAATATGTGGAAGGTAGCACAATTTATAATAAATCGTTTAGTTGAAAAAAAAATATTGGCTAGCAAGAATAACCAGACAAGAGTTTATTCGCGCCCATCAAAGTGTCGATACACTATAAACTTATGTTGATAAACAATGGGATTAATATGGATTGCATAAATTATATCACTGCACTGATATTCTATATCCAGTAAACATTTAAAAGGCCATGCTTCTCATGAACCCGATATCTATTTCTTTTGCAACTGCATAATTGACAGTGGCTATTCACTGATATACATATATATATATATATATATATATATATATATATATATATATATATATATAGATAGATAGATAGATAGATAGATAGATAGATAGATAGATAGATAGATAGATAGATAGATAGATAGATAGATAGATAGATAGATAGATAGATAGATAGATAGATAGATAGATAGATAGATAGATAGATAGATAGATAGATAGATAGATAGATAGATAGATAGATAGATAGATAGATAGATAGATAGATAGATAGATAGATAGATAGATAGATAGATAGATAGATAGATAGATAGATAGATAGATAGATAGATAGATAGATAGATAGATAGATAGATAGATAGATAGATAGATAGATAGATAGATAGATAGATAGATAGATAGATAGATAGATAGATAGATAGATATAACATCTAAGTTTTAAATCAATAATGACAAAAAGGTTAGCACTGCTGACAAAATTTCATTTGAAGAAAAGATAAGCTGCTGAAGAAGTGTGGATTACACATTTAAGACGGATATAACGGTGTACAACGTGGTATAATACTTTAGAAATCCAGTAATATCCATCCATGGACATAGTAATTAATTCAAATTACTGAGACATTAAAGCGAATAGGAAGCTTAACATATCAGGATAAAGAGAAGTAGGTTATTTCGGAATAAAGTATGCAAAATCGGAGTGATACTAAATAATGTGTAGTTTTTGTAATATCAAATGCTTTCGAATGGGGATCCCGAATAATATCCTCTAATTTTCTAGGGAGTCAGTCACAACTTATTTACTTACGCCTGTTAATCATAATGAAGCATAGGCCGCCATCTAGCATTCTCCAACCCACTCTGTCCCACTCTACCTTCTTTTCTAGTTCCATCCAATTCTTGTTCATTTTTCTCATGTCTATCTCCATTTCTCGGCGTAATGTGTTCTTTGGTCTTCCTTTCCTCCTTCGGCCTTGAGGATTCCATATGAGGGCTTGGCTTGTGGCGCAGTTGAGTGTTTTCTTCAATGTGTGTCCTATCCACTTTCAGCGCTTCTTCCTGATTTCTTCCTCCGCTGGGATCGAGTTTATTCTCTCCCACAGTAGGTTGTTGTTGATAGTGTCCGGACAACGGATCCATAGTATTTTGCGTAGACAACTGTTAATGAACACCTGTATCTTTTGGATGATGGCTATCGTAGTTTTCCAGGTTTCCGTCCCATACAGTAGAACTGTCTTGACATTTGTATTGAAAATTCTGACTTTGGTGTTAGTTGACAATTGTTTTGAGTTCCAGATGTTCTCCAGTTGTAAATATGCTGCTCTTGCTTTGCCGATCCGTGCCTTCACATCTGCATCAAATCCACCGTGTTCATCGATGATACTGCCCAAATATATAAAGGTATTTACGTCTTCCAAAGCTTCTCCGTCAATTGTGATTGGATTGGTGCATGCTGTGTTGTACCGGAGAATCTTGCTTTTCCCTTTTTGTATATTGAGACCTATTGATGCAGCTACACTGGTCGTCTTCCCCTGCATTTGTTGTTGCGTTTGCGATAGACGAGCCAGATCATCTGCGAAGTCTAGATCATCCAACTGCATCCTAGATGTTCACTGTATCTCGTGCTTCCCTTCAGATGTTGACGTCTTCATGATCCAGTCGATCACCAGGAGAAAGAGAAAGGGTGAGAGTAAACAACCTTACCTGACACCGGTCTTTACTTCGAACGAGTTTGTCAACTGTCGTCTATGCACGATCTTGCAGTTTAATCCATCATAGGAATTCCGTATGATATTGACTATCTTCTCTCGCACATCGTGTTGTGTTGTCCTGTCCATGATATCAAATGCCTTCTTGTAGTCAATAAAGTTAATGTAGAATAATGAATACTATTCAGTTAATTGCTCCACAATGGTCCGTAGAGTTCCGATTTGGTCTTTACACGATCTATCCTTACGGAATCCAGCCTGTTGGCTTCGAAGTTGAGCGTCTACGGAGTCCTTTATTCTATTTAGCAACACTTTGTTTAAGACTTTTACATGTATTGAGAGAAGAGTGATGTCCCTGTAGTTGTCGCAGTTGCTGAGATCGCCTTTCTTTGGTATCTTGACCAGTAGTCCTTCTTTCCAGTCTGTTGGTACTTGCTCTTCATCCCAAATCTTACTGAAGAGGATGTAGAGTATTCTTGCAGTTGCCGCTACGTCTGCCTTCAGTGCCTCTGCTGAAATGTTGTCTGGTCCTGCTGCTTTGCCTCTCTTGATTTTTCTGATGGCTAAGCTGATCTCTTCGATTGTTGGTGGGCCAACATCGATTGGGAGGTCCATGGGTGCTGCTTCGATATTAGGTGTGTTCAGTGGGACTGGTTGATTCAAGAGTTCTTTGAAGTGTTTTACCCACCTGTTTCGCTGTTCTTCAATATTGGTGATTACTTTGTCTTCCTTGCTTTTCACTGGTCGTTCTGGTTTACGGTGATTTTCAGAGAGTTTCTTTGTTGTGTCATACAGTTGTCTCATGTTTCCTTCTCTTGCAGCCTTTTCCGCCGTCATTGCTAAATCTTCCACATATTTACGTTTGTCAGTTCTGATGCTCCTCTTCACTTGCTTGTTTACTTCTGTGTATTCAGCTTGTGCCTTGGCTTTCTCTGCTCTTGTTCAGCTGGCGTTGATTGCTGCCTTCTTGTTCCTCCTTTCTTGAATCTTATCCAGTGAATCAACAGTGATCCATTCCTCGTGATAGTGCTCCTTGTGGCTCAGAACCTCATGACATGTTGAAGTGATTGTCTCTTTTATCCCTATCCAGTCGCTCTCCATAGTAGTTCCTTCTCCATTGCATAGATCATAAAAGGCCTGGAACTTATTGCTGAGAGCTATCTTGAATTTGTTGAGTTTGTCAGTATCCCGAAGAAAAGCCGTATTAAACTTTTGTGATATTGTCCGCCGATATGCTTGATTTGGCTTTGCGTAGTGTGATCCAGTGAAGTCCATGTGGTTTTGTGAATGCGTTTATGTGGGAATATAGTGCCGCCTATGACCAGTTTATTGAAGACACATAGGTTTGGAAATCTCTCACCATTTCCGTTCCTTTCTCCCAGTCAGTATCGTCCCATGATGTCTTCATATCCGGTGTTGTCCATTCCAATCTTGGCATTTAAGTCTCCCATCAGAATGGTCAGGTCCTTTGTTGGGCACTTCTCGATGATTGACTGCAGCCTATCGTAGAATTGATCTTTAGCGTCTTCATTGTAGTCGTTGGTAGGCGCGTAGCATTGGATGACGTCGATTGAAATGCCCTCTTTCTTTGTTTTGAAGTAGGTTTTGATGACCCTGGGTCCATGAGATTCCCATCCTATAAGTGCATTTTGTGCTTGTTTGAATGGCATTAATGCAACTCCTTGTGTATGTGGGGCATTTTCTTCTTCATGTACGGAGTATAGCAGAAACTCCCCTGAAGCTAGTCGTTGTTGTCTAACCTGCATTCAATGTGTTTCACTGATCCCAAGAACCTCTGGTTTGTATCTCCTCATTTCTGCAGCAATTCGGAAGACTCCCAGTCTCCCACATTGTACGAGCATTCCATATACCTAAATAAATGGTTGCCCTGGTTGTCAGAAGAGGCATCGGCCTCGTGACTTTCGAAGGAACTCGGCTCTCATCATGAGGCGTCATAACTCTTCGAAATGAAGATCTTCTGACTCCCAAGGGAGTTTAAGTGGTTTGAATAATTTTTTCTGGTTAGCGTTTTTTTAGCGAGTTAGTTTTCTACGGGATGGGGTCGCTAACCCCATGCCCAACCCTCTTCCTTTATCCGGGCTTGGGACCAGCAGTCGCCCCCGGAGGGACTCTAGGCGGAGTTGAATCAGTCACAAAACCTATCATAACTACCCATAACTATGAAATCCCAGTATATTTTGGCGTATATATGAGGTTATAGCAAAAGATTAACGTTTGCTCGTTAACAGAAGAAATCATCATAATATAGTTTTCAGCAGCATGTGATGGAGTGTACGCCGAATAACCAAGCATAAACGTATGGAGTAAGATAAAGTTATATCAAATGGTGTATATTATGATATCGAGTAACTTATATTATTTACTAATACTAAGCACGAGTAATACAATATTTAGTAATAAGAAAAATAGGTAAATAAATGCATGAGAAATGATCAAAGATTGAAATAATTATATTCGTTTAGGAATATTACATAACCAAAGAGAAATGAAGCTTTTGGTGGATACTTGATGCATCCTTAACTAATATTTCATAATTTTGGTGGAAAATAGTCCAGATGTTTTAAGGTCCAAAACGGTGCGATGTATAGTATGAACTAGCAAAAATTCTCTGCTTATTTCAATAATAAATTTTTCTTCAGCAAAATATAGCTGTACATAACTTGTAATTGTTTTTATTTTGAGTTCTTCAACAATGGTCAAAGTGATTTTTTCTTGTGAATATTCTAGTTTTCACATACTTGTTTAAGTGATATATAACGAAAACTTCCGACTTATTTAATGAATTATAGGATATTTTGATTGAATGAAAGTCAAAGTTTTTGTAGTCAAAATGAAGCAAAAACCCTATTTCCTTAAGAAAATAAGATCTTTAAAGGTATCGGGTTCAAGTCAGGTTCAACTAGTATAATGTTTACACTTTCATGTTTACAGGGCACCTGATAACTGAATCATAAGAATGTATGTAAATAGTAACCTTACCTACGTTTTTTAGTTATCAAACAAAAATAACTTAACTAAATTGGAAGATATTAAAAGGAATTTCGAGAGTTCAACTAGAAACTTGAAGTTATTATTAAGTCAAATGGAAACTGATGCACTAGAAGAGGAATTATCATGTGTCGGTCAACTAGCGCAAACAACAGCAAATCAACTGAAACTTAGTCACTCAAGGTAAGTTATGAATGAGTGCATTAAAAATTTGTGTTGTATTTGTTTTTACTTTTCATCTTAAATCAGTAAGCATAAGTGTTATGATACTTTAAAACCAAATACCTTAAATATAATAATAATAATAATAACACAATAAAGGTAGTTTGCGCTTTAAATAATTACTGCTAAATTTATTTGCGATGTGTAGTTGTAATATATTCAAACGAACCTTACCAAAGAATTACTTTTTCATCAAAAATAAGAAATATTGTAGCCTGCTTTTTATAAGCTGAAAGGTAGACAGAATTTGTTTTCATAATTGCAGTTCGCTTTACTAACTTGGGAAAAGGAGCTAAAGTTTAACCAAGAGAATATTTCACTCCCTACTAAGAAAACGATTCTTTTGTTGCATCGCTTATTCCACTAATTGATGGATGCACCCTAGTAAATTAAAAGAAGCAGTGATTCTTCCAAAGTAGAATAATTTACTAAGTTTATACGTTGTTTTATCTAACATCTAATGTAACATTTAAACATTCACCTGCTAAGAGAATGTATTTGTCATCGCCAATACTCTCAAGGTATTTGGACGTCGAGTTTATGATAGACAGTCGAATAGGGATTAAAACCAGTCGAGCACTACACTACAAACCGTATTCATGAAGTTCAGTCTTTAAAAGATAAATAGGGAGAAAATATTTCACAAAGTCCTCATGCATTTAATAAACCGACGTCAATATTGTTATAACTTGCGGCCTGTGTGCACTGTTTATTGTATAACGTAACAATACCGCCAACTACAGAGCAGCAAATTATCGATCGGACCAGTGACGCATAAAACCCGTACGAGCAGTTTAGAGTACTTATTGGTCCTGCTTTCCGTCTAGCCCAGCTAGTTAAGTCCAAAACACCAATCTCAGCCTCTGCAATATGAATCATTTATTTCGAGTATACTGGGTTGGTATACCAACCAGACAGACTACGTCGCACCATAAAATATGAAACAACATTTGTACAAGAATTATCTAAATGTGGCTGTGAATGAGGGAGGTAGTAATTAATAGACAGGCCATAACTCAAGAATGGTAAGTCGTATAATAGTAGATCATAGGTCAAAATCAAGTTAATAATACATTGGGCATGAATATGAATAGTTTAGTTATTTAACAATTATACGATAAAAATATACGCACAATATTGGCTCATAAATGCATCCCAAAAGTTAACATCCATTATGCTAATCGGGACATAACAAATATCGGTTCGAGGACTCAGTTGAATTGATAAATAACTCCACATCTGATGTCGAAATTAGATAGAAAAATAATCTTCACACACTTGGCGAACAAACGACCCAAAAAACATACATCTTAATGAGGGGAAAATATCCTGAAAACCACAGGTCCAAGTTACAAAATCACTGCATATCCACATTTTGATTTTCCACAGTACTTGGCATATAAATGTTGTAACGTACGGTGTTCAGAATCTGATACTGATACACGGCATGTTACGCGCTAACCCCACCTGACTACTTGAGCGAGAAAGTGTATTGGACTACCGAATGGAATGCACAAGTACTCATATATATATATATATATATATATATATATATATATATATATATATATATATATATATATATATATAGTGCTATCATTAGGAAATTGACCCCAATGAAATTCACTCAAAACTTAGGTCAGTTCTGGTTGCCATTGACCGACCTTTTTTACTTTTGATTGGCTCTCCATATCAATGGATCTCCGGGAATCCATACATATTGAGCCTATGTATTGACATTTTTACTTGTAAATTACTTGTTCCCACACTGGTTACTCATTATCTATATATGACAATATAACTTAGAAAAATGGATCTGCTAAAAAGAATTTTTGTTGAACTAATTGACATCACAATAATCGCTTCCTAAAATATGAACACTACTTTGGTCAAGTAAATAGGATACAAGCTTGTATTACTTTGGTCACGATGTTGTGTTTTCTCGGCTTACTGATATACAACATCTATCTTAAGCTGTAATATTACCTCTTTACGAAGCCAACTTATAAAATTATTTGTCGGACCATCTATTACTGTTTAGTTATTTGTTAATTAAATCAAGGAGATAAGTTTTTAAGGGATAAAGACGGAGGATTCTAAAGTTAAATATTCCATCAATAGCAAAGGCTGACAAATAGGAGATTAGACTGTCTGACGTAAATTCGTTGGCTATTTATAAGTTGCGCATATTTTCCTGAAAATTATACGGAAATTTTATTTGCTATTTTTGACATATACTACTACAATATTCAAGTGAAAAATGACTGTAAGCCTTTTAAGTAACTTATTAATACAACTATGAACTAAATTGATTTAATTTGTTAACTTTTAGACTTGAAGAAAATCTTGACTCAATAAGGACTGATCTTATTCGTCTAAAGGCTGAATGTCACTAACTATCTATGAAATGAAGTCGTTCGTTGGACTGGGGATAATTAAAACAGCAATAAATCCAATCCAATTTGTGACCTTTTATAAACTGTATTTGTATACGGGATATCTATTTAACTAAATGGCTAAAAATATTATTTGGTTTGAATATAACGATTTATAACAGATATCCACACACGTAATAAGATGATACTCATATATAGTTAAGACAAATTGACAGACAAATACATCCCTGGCTTATATTACACTGCAGTCTATCATCAGGGTTTACGCTCGAAATCCGTTAGTATAGACACTGCATAAAATCTGTTTCTGCACACCGGTTTTAAGCCGAGATGATAGGTTGCAAGTTCATTGGGACTTTATGATACAAACTTTTATGGAAACGATACCGAGATTTTGTGAGTAAAATCAACAAACGCCGTATTTCTGAACATTGCTTTTTACAAAAACTGTGTGACATGAACAACTTTACTGAATTAATAGCATCAAATTAAAAAGCCTTAAAATATAGAATAATGTGGAATGTCAACCAAAGCTGCTCCTAAACATTAATGGATGACTACCAGAAATATATGACGGGAATGACAACGACAATGCTGGTCACATCAATAATTCTCATGAAACATAGTCCTGATTTGTTATTGGGCAGCAAACAACATGAAGCATTTTGATTTAGACTAAAATAGACAGCATAAACACTCAACGCACTGGATAATCATCAAACCTTTTATCAGTCTATTGTTTCGATAGAAGACGGAATTATGCTATACATTTCAAACAATCCGGTCACACATACTTGTCAGGGCATTTTATATGAAAATTAATAAACGTCAGGTTTCGGCAAATTGTTTTTGTGCACATAAGGTAGGTTTAAATTTAAGGATAGCCAGGGCTTCAATAACCTTGAACATTCGTTCTTGACAATTTCTATACAACGTCTTAAAAGCTGTATTAATGTCGATTCGGTGCCCCGTTTTAATTACGTGTTTCGCTGTCGATGTACATGGTTTTCTACCTCCAACATTGATCGCATCATTTGATACAAATTGGTTTTGAAGTCATCTAGCTACATGTCCAATGACCCTTGATTGCATTGTTCGACTTTTACTCCATGTGTGTCCTCACAAACATGTAAATCTATAATACAATGTGATATGACGCAACCACATGTGCATTGTCTAGGTCTGCTTGAAATTCGAGAAATACTTGCTCCACTGGAAGGAGAAGACGAGAATATTTCGACGGTCACTTCAACTAAAAAGTCTAAGTCTGAGTATTCATCAGATACTGTGATAAAGAAAAAGAAACATGAAAATAAAACGGTTAATGAAAAGCTATTGGTTTACAAGATAACTGTGTCACCATCTTCAGAAATTTCGATACCTAAAGTTTCATGTGAGTAGATGTTAACGTCTTTTTTATGTAGCTACTAGAATGATTCTCATATGCACTAATAAATGCCCCCGTTTATTTTATACATGAATCAGCTGATTTATTTCACCACTTGATAATACACATCAGATTTATCCATTAATTGTCCGGCTATTTAAACTAGATAGCCGTCAACTTGTATCTGTGTTATTCACAGTGATTACGAGTCAACAGCTTGCTATTTTCTTCTATAAGGATTGCTAGGGAATTATTCTCATTTCTTCATTTTTTATCTGATTTCCCTCCATAATGGTTTGAAGTGCAATAACTTGAATAGGACTATTCTGGACTGGAGATCAGTGATTTAAAACATCTAATGTGGATCGCCCAACCGTAGCTGCTACCTTGACGTCGTGGTCGGGCTTGCCTATCGTGATGACCCAACCGAGCTATATTGGCTGGAACACATGTTCCTGCAGGTTCTACCATGCCAGGCAGGTCGATTGGAGAACGGTATGACTAAAAGCAGCAAATCAAGGTCTGAGGGCGAAGTCGTACTGCTGACTGTACAGAGGTGTGACAGCAGTAAGGTGTTTCCTTCAGACAACCAGCATAACAGCGATGCTGCCTTCCCAAAAGGAGGGGTGGTTTTAGAAAAGGTCGACCCTAAAAATGTCACACCTCACCTTACCCCACGGATTTCCGTCTCCGGCGGTAAGGCCCTTTGAAGAACGGAGCTTACACATTTAAAACCTTCCACAAAAAAACCGTGCGCGACCGGCCTCAAGCAGCTGTCCCTTGGGCACTGCAGTCACGCACTCAGGTCGCTAAGACCAACACTAATTCGACTTCCTTTTCATGTTTCTCAAGAAATACCCTTCCACGGTGTGGGCAACCGGGAAGTGATATTAGCCCTCATACCGGTAACAGCACACGAGACCAAGTTGGTCACATTCAAATTCTTCCTACACCTCCTAATAACTCTCTTATCTCCACGACTAAGTCAGTCAGTCAGTCAGCTGCAACGTAGGACCAGGCACGTATATTCATCGGTTCAAGTTGCCATACCGCATTAGCACAACAAGATGAACACCGGATTCATAGAAGTAGTTAATTCAGTGGTGGTAATATATAGAAGAAAGATTGTGTATAAGGAGATAGTACAGGAAGGTAGAATTAGTTCCTAGAAAAAAAGATTTGAAGTGATTTTATTCTCTTAGTTTAAAGGAAGACAGAGAGTGTATACACCGACGCCATTGTGATCGATTCTGAGCCATGTCGCCAACAGTCTCCAACCATTGGTTACGATAGTCACGCGGACCCCAACCTGGCAGTCTGCATCTCCCAACATGGCTCAGACCAGAAGTTGGTGACTTCAAGCACTGATGCCACGTTTTGGTTTGGCCGCCCCTAACTTTCTTCCAATCATTCCTAACACCGGTTAGCATTGTGCGTCGTGGTGATCGGTGTTCAGGCATACGCAGCACGTGGCTCAACCATCTCAGTCGATGAAGATTCATAACCTCATCAACTGATTTACCATCATTCCCTAATACCCTGCGTCTAACCTCACTATTACTTACCCGGTGATCCCAACAGATGCGAGCAATATTTCTAAGGCACCTGTGATCAAATACTAATAGCTTACGAATATCTTCTACTCTTAAAGGCCATGTTTCGCAGCCGTATAGTAGAACGGAACGAACTGCCGCGCAGTATACTCGTCCCTTAATTGATAGACGGATATCTCGCCTTCGCCATAGATGACGTAAGTTGGCAAAGGCCAAGTGAGCTTTTCGAATCAGTGCTGAGATTTCGTCAGACACCAACCCATTAGGGATGATCACACTTCCAAGATATGTGAAGTTGTCAACGCGTTCGACTACTTCACCCCCTATCCTTAGTTCAGGTGTTGATGCAGACCAGTCCTGAAGCAACAACTTGCATTTAGAGGGAGAAAAGCGCATCCCAAACATTCTGGCATTGTTGCTCAGTGCTACCAAAAGACTCTGCATTTCATCAGCGTCTTCACCAAACAGGACTATGTCATCTGCGTATTCTAAGTCGATAAGTGGACCTCCTGGTAGGAGACCAATACCCGAGAAGTCAGTCGATGAGAGCGTTATTTCCAAAAATGGAGAAAGTGGATAGCCTTGACGGACACCACTTAACGTTGCAAAAGCAGATGACAGTTCGCCATAAGCTCTGACCCGACTAGTAGTGTTCGAGTAAAGAGCCTTCACAAGGTTTATGTACTTCTGAGGTACGCCTTTCAATGACAGACACTGCCACAGAACCTCTCGATCTACAGAGTCAAACGCTGCTTTTAAGTCAAGGAATACCACCATTGTCGGACGCCGATAAGTATGCCTGTGTTCTAGAACCTGACGAATGGTGAATATGTGGTCGATGCAGCCACGACCAGGTCTGAAGCCAGCCTGATTTTCACGTGTTTGCAGCTCACGAGTCTTAGTTAGGCGTCCGAAAATTATCGAAGCTAGTATTTTAGATACTATATTAGTCAAACTAATCCTTCTGTGGTTGTCACAGGATGATTTTGACCCTTGCTTAAATATTGGGACGATAAGTGATTGTGACCAGTTAGATGGGATGACGTCTAACTCCCAGATTTTAGCTAAAATATTAGTCAACCAAATCGCTAAAACTAGACCACCATCCTTAAAGACCTCTGGGGCCAATCCATCTGGACCAGCTGCCCTTCCTCGTTTCAGATTAGCTATAGCCTTTTGAACTTCAGCTAGAGTTGGGGGACCTACTTCAATGTTCCATTCACACTGTCTGGGAATAGAGGGTAGTTGTAGAGTAGCTGAAGGTTAGCTGAACTGCTCCTTAAAGTGTTCCGCCCATCGTTCTAAGCATCTGGACTGGGAGCAGATGAGAGTGTCGTCTTTTTCCGAAATAGTCTGTCTTACACTTGATTTATTGATTCCAGTTTCTTTTATTAGTCTGTGGAGTTGTCTTGTGTTCCCTATAGCCGCCGCCTTTTCCATCTCTTTTGCTTTCGTTGCCCACCACTGCTCATGATCATTCCTTAGACTTTTGGTTAACCTAGATCTGATTTCTTTACGCTCTTCATCGTGTTCAGAACCTGATGGGATGTGTTTGCGAGAATCCATCGGTGCAATAGACCTTGAAGAAATCCATTGGTTCTTTGTAACCCTGTGGTTTAAATCACTAGTAGATGTCACTGCTGTTTCCACAGCTGCTTGTATAACTTTCCAAGCAACATCTGGGTCAGCCTTGTTTTCAGAACTACCTAAGTGTGACGCATATATATTTGGTGCCCCCCTTGTACCAATATTTATGTGTTCAAATAAATAAATAAATTCTCATTACTCAATTCGGTTCTAATGAGTCTTTTTTTGTGTGGCTTTTTTGCGTCCAGTGAGGCGGAAGCAGGTGCGTGCTCGTATTAGGGCATGGTCGGAGTCCAAGCAGGTACTCCAGAATGAGTGACAATCTTCTATTGACCTTCTCCAACGATGACTGATGGCAATATGGTCTATTTGAGTCCATCGTTGGTTTGGTGCAGCGGGTCGCCATGTTAGACGATGTCTCTCCTTATGCTTAAAATTTGTGTTTGCTAAAAATAAACGATTGTCTGAGCACA